TGTCTCTATGAGAGCCAACTTTAGCCTTACCTTTTTAGCTTTTAAATAAGCTAAAATAGCCATTTGGATGCTTGGAGTACACCATACTAGAATAAGATCCTACATATACCTTGATTATCACAGTAAGGCGACTACTTTTAAGCCACAGCAGTACATTAATTCCATCAACCTCGCTCATTTGGTCGCGGTCATTAAGACTAAGATGTTGTGGCCTTGGGTTTTCTCACAGCCTCCTTTATCTATTTAGTATTGGCTTTCACAACTCCGTCAGAACGTCATGGAGACTTTATGGTTCGCCTATTTTACTCAAATGTTAAAGCATTTGAAATTCATATTAAGTTAAGTTTAATATAAGTTATTATATATTTTACTTGTAGGACTTTTTGGTCCTTTTGTCTAGAATAAGGATCTGTTTTTGTACCTGTTTCTTATATTTTCTATTAAAGATGATAACTTAAGCTTTATATAAAAGGAAAATGATCCATAACTGTTCCCTTGCAGGTCATCGCTTTCTTGATTTGCTTAAATTTTAGCGTTTTGGTTCCGTCTTGTGTATCGGATTTATTAATACATATTTGCGATACATTTTTCCACACCCCTGTGATGCAGCAGGGGTTGTGAGGTTCAGTACCCTGACCTCTCTTGGGGCCAAAATCTTCTTACGTTGTTTAAACTCGGTTTAGCTAAGAGAATACGAGTTATCTAAATTCTCAGATGCTTAGATGACAGGATGTAACAGAAACCGAATTTATTGGTCACCTATCTCTGGGAAGGGCGTGATTCATTTTTCCCTCTGTCACATCTCTCTACTCAGCCCTGCTTTATCCTCTCCTATCTAAACATGAGTTCTTTTTACATCAGCCCCCATTCTCTTTTGATGAAATCCAATGATTAATATACGTGATTAGAATTGTTGCTTTCATCGTCAATCTCATTTTATCTCTTTAGAAACTTGTTATGTTCTATCGCTTCACAGAAGCATGATCTAATAATCCCATTACCGCGATTCTGTGTAGCACATTCATATTTTTCCTTTAGTCACTCTTAAAACTGGTGTATTTTTATAATAACTTATATCTTTAATCAATATAATTTGGTAAATCAAATTAAAACCTTTTTAGGAATTCTGATACTTTCATTCTTTTCTCTAGATATGGAAACTTTGGATATCACGTCTTTCTTTTTCTGCGCATGCAAACACGGCCTTTCGACGGGGGAGTTGGCTCATTCCAAGGGTTTTGAGTTGCAATTTGTCATGTCGGCAGCTGAAATTATGGATCCCAAAATGGATCCTCGGATGAAAGGGCAGCGTGAAATTATTGGAATTCACGAGACCCTTGCTCGGGGCCAGCTATTCCTAAAGGAATTTAATGACAAGCATGAAGTTTTGGGCATTATGGACGAATTACTGGCGGCATTTGTGAATTGGTTGACTGGTAGCTCTCTCGCTCAAACTGTCTTCACTTCTATGTATATGCATTGCACTCATCTTGTTGAAGATTTTTTTCTCTCCACATTTTGTGAAACTCTTCGTCGATCTATATACTACCTTCGTGAATTCATCCTGGGTGCATCTATATTTGAAGAATTTGAGGATTTTTCCCCATCATTTCAAGGTCTTCCTCTCGAGGGTCCGGACACTCTACTTACTACTATTGGGGATTCCCATAAAGGGATTGAATTTGTAGAATCTCTGAATACCGATTCCATAATTGAGCAACTTGTACAGCTAGAATTGTATATAGATCAACATCTCGACATTTCCAGTATCTACACAGCTTTTAAGTCTAGGGTCCAAATGCTGTTCCATTTTCTTTCATTCTCAAGGCATCTTCCGCGCTTTTTAATTTCATGGCCGGATGAAGATCAGGATATGGCTAATTTAGGATATGATCTCGCTCATTTTCCTGACGAGATCATCAGATTTTCTGATAAATTCAAGGATGTTTCAGATTATAATGCTACAATTGCCTCTTGCAGGATACATTTAGAGAAGCTGCTTCATCTGACAAAGTTACTTTGGAAAACAGCCCTCGATGGAAAGCAGGCTGGAGAAGGAAAACGATTCCCCAAGGACTATGACTATGGTCTTCCCGGTTTTGAGCCTTACTTAAATCAAAACAATCTCTCCAATGTCGTCATTTATGATCGACCTGGTGCATTTGCATTCCTTCACGGCATGTTTGCTCGAGTACTTAATGTTTTCCAGCAGATTGAACGTTATTCAAATGATCCTTTATCTACCACAAGCCTTCAGGTGCAGAAACCATACCCGTGTCTTCATAATTTATGGGCACTTATTCAGCACTTTGGTCAGATTCCTTGTCATTCGGTTGAACTTTTAAATGACATATCGGAATGTGAGCTCGAGTGCCTGCCCTTGGCGGGTAGTTGTGTTTTTTCTCGAAGTATTCTCTTCAGCCTTTATCTTCTTCCTATTCGATGGGATATGGAGAAGCGCAAGAATGATCTTCATCTCTCTTATAGAACAGAATTGTTCCTTTATTCATGGCTTCTTAGTGTGCCCTCTTCTTTAAGAAATTATATCCGCAAGCTGATACTTAGCACCGAAGGCCTATCTTTTTTCTTTGAATGTTTGAGCCTCGAAATCTTCAAGGTGAGTAATGCATTCATATCTATAAAGATGAATATTT